GCCGCTCCCCCTGCTTGTGCTCTCTCTCTCTCTCCCTCCCTAAAAAAACTAAAACTAAACTAAACTAAAATAAATAAAATGGAGCACAAGACCCTGTTTCCAAATGTATGTTTTGCCTGTAATGGTTTCAGGAAACTTGGTGTAGCACCTGGTGGACAAGCTTGACAGTGGTAAGACCCAAATGTATTCACACAGGTGACAGGTGGAGCCACGGAACAACCACCATTATTTATCTCACATTCATTGATATCTTGGCAACTGTATCCATTTCCTTGCCAGCCTAGAAAGATCAGAAGATTTGAAAAGTTAGCTCTATAGACAAGTTGACAACAAAGAAATGCAAATTGTCAAAGATACATAAAAACCCGCTTCACTCTAAGAAACTATAGATTAAAGTGAGGAAGACTCTACCTTTCAGGTTGGCAAAAATTGTTTTAAATTCTCAAAAACAAATTCTGGCAAAGTGGTGGGCATGTGAGGTACTCTTAGATGCTTTTAGTCAGAAGTTTAATTAGTAAAACCTACTTGGAAATAGATTTAGCAATATTCATTAGAATTTTTAAAATATATACCTTTGGACTAACAACTCCACTTCTTAAAACAGTTTCTGCAGTGATAAAAATGGCAGTATCTACAGATGTAGGTAAGCAGATGTCTACTGCAGAGTTGTTTAATGGGGGGAAAAAACCACAAACCTCTCAGTGATCACTAGGGCATAGCTGAATCTATTACAACTCATCTACACCACTGATATGAAAAGCTATTTTTAATGACATGCACACACACATATTAAAAAATTTCCCCATATACACTTTAACTAATAATATAAATTTTAGAATAATATGCAGAGTATGATCCCAATTTGGGGAAGAAATTTTTTTAAACCTGCATATGTGTCTACGTGTTTGTATGAGTGAAGGAAAATGAAGAAGAGGAGAGAAAACAATTGTTAACAGTAGTCTCATTAGGAGGATAAGACTGAAGGTGAAGAAAGAGGGACTTTCCCTCTAGATATTTCTGTTTAAATCAATTGTTACAGTGAGTTTTATTACTCTTATAATTCAAATGACTAAAATTATGATAAGAATGTTTAAAACCTTCTAAATTTTTAAAAATATTTCTTTTATTTGATCTAAGTAGAGTCCCTTCTAAAATTCTACCTATGGAAATAACATATTGTGGGTGAAGAATGCACAGAAGAGAGCTGGAAGGAAATATGCCCCAATGTCAATGGTGGTCCTCCGAGTGATAAGACTATGGGCATTTTTTGCCATCTTATTTCCATACTTTTATTGTTTCTTTATATTTTATAAGCAGCATGTATTTATTTTGACATGCAGGAAAAAAATAACGTGATTAACAGGAAAACAAAAAGTTTTGTTTCTCTTTTTTTCTCCAACGATAAATAAAAGAATCCTATAGTTCAAAATCATTTCTTTTTCTGATTTCTAGTTTTTAAAGACTGTCACTGGCAAATTGCCTTCAAGAATGTGGTTGTTTTCCAATTTTATTTGCCCCTGAGAACTAAGAGGGAAAAACTTTTTACATGTTTTTTTCAATTTCTTCCTAGTTATACAAGATCTAAGCAGGTAACATGAAGAAAGTCACTAAACCAAAAGTCACAGGAAGCAATAGGTGTGTGGGTTCCTTGATGAGACGGATCAATGAAGTATTCAGCAGCCCAACTCAAATCCACAGTCAGGCAGACCTAGGTTTGACTCCTGACTGCTTATAAGCTATGTGATCTTGGGCAAGTTATTTACCTTCTCCAAGCCTCATGGTCTTATATTTTAAAGTGGGAATAAAACTAATTCCTAACATTTCTTGATTTTGTCATAGTTGCAAGAATTAAAAATTGCCCCAGCACAGTGTCTCAATGAAGTTTCATAAAATAATTATATTCTTATATGCTGTACCTTCTAACAACACACAAGGAGTGCCAAGGGGCCTTGTAGACTCTCTGAGGTCTGGTTAATTGCTCCCCAGTGCACCCAGCAAAGTGCTTTGCTCATAGTGGGAGCTCTACAAATATGCGTTGATTGGATGATGATGGTCTCATCTAGTGAGTGATGAAGCACAGACTCAAACCCAGGCAGCCTCTGAGCCCAGAATCTATGTTTTCCATGACTCAGCATGTGACCTGACCTGGAGATATGGTCTCTGTGGGTCTGAGATGAAGCCAGATATCCCTATTTACAGCAAGACCACAAGGTCTCCCAGTGACACACCCAGGTGAGGACTACTGGACTCCAGCGGTGACACAAAGAGGTGAAATCATCTGCCCAAGTTTGCAAACATCTGGCTAGTAAGGGAGGTGGGGCTGGAACAAATCCGAGTCAGCTGCTGGCCACAGCAAGCAGGTGCTTGACCCTGCCCCCTGCATTTGGCTCAGGCCCTCTGATTTCTGCTGCTGAATTATTACAGCAGAAAGATGGCCCTGCGGTGGGAAATAGTGAAATAGGCCATGCAATGGGATTGGAAGGCTTCCTGAGAATGGTCTTCTTAGCTTTCGGCAGTGGAAGGAAATCCATTCTGGCACCTTGCCCAGCTGGGCGTGGACGAGCCCCTGTACCTGTTGGGCAGGCCCCACAGTAGAAGGAGCCTGGTGTGTTGAAGCACTGCGCGAGTGTTGAGCACGGTGAGTGCTGGAGGCTGCACTCATCTATGTCCAGCACACAGGCCGGGCCGTTCAGCGGGGACGTCCACCCCACGTCGCAGATGCAGCTGTACCTGGGCTGGCAGAACAACAAGAGTGTGATTCAAGGCAATCAAGAAAATGAGCAAGAAAAGCCTTTGAAAATCTCACCAAGCCCCCAACTGTTGATCCTCTAGCGTTCGTTTCCATAAGGCCAATTGAGTGGCTTCTCTTCTTCTTCCCATATGATTAAGCATTTAGACCAGACCACACAAAAAGAGAAACATCTTTATTTCGGAGTAAGGCAAACCTATAATTTGTCCCAAAGATGCCAGGGAAAGAGCAACCACAATCAAGAACTGTAAGTCAATATAATTAAAGTCAATGCACTCAGCCTGCTGTGTTTTTAGAGGGAAAAACACCCATAGAGGCACAGACCTTGGAAAATCCATTCTGTTTGTTTCCTTTTTGAAAGTCTCTCCTTCCCCTCCCACCCACTCTCTCCTCCCACCATCACTGGAAGGGAACCATTTTCCATCACAAGGGTAGGAAAAAAAAAAAAGAACTAAAAATAAAGACCCGAAGGTCTCATACAAGGCCAAGTGGGCCGGGTCTGGGTGATCTTGAAGGTCAGGAGTCAAGGTTGTCAGGATCCAGAGCACAGGGGCCACTCAGGGAGGTGGCTCAGAGTCTGCAGGGCCAGAAACAATCCAGACTCCCTAGAAGGGCATGTTGCCAGCAAGAGTGGGCCTTTGGTGTTTCCATGTCTCGTCACTGTTCCAACTCATGAGGCCACGAGAAGGTCATGTCTCAGAGACAGATGGACGAAGGAATAATAAAAATGGTAGTAATTTCTATAATGATATCACCTCTGGGTCCAGTTTTCTGTTTTTTTATGGACAACTCTCATCTTTTTCCTCACCTGCGCCCCACTTCAGAGCAGGAAGTGACTTCCTCTCTGTAGCTCTGCCAAAGCCGTGCTCATATGCAGATGTGCCACATTCTGTGGGGGACTCACCTGGTCAGCCTGCACGCGGACTAGATCCTCGCAGATGCCGTGGACACAGAGCTCCTTGGAGCCCCCTTCGCAGTCGTCGTATCTGGATGCACACTGGGGGCCGTGTGTCTCAGGTGAGCAGAGACAACTGTGGGTTACACAAGAGCACAACATCAGGACAAGTGCCTGTTTCTTAGCATCAATTAAGAAAATAATAATTCCAACTGTAAGTCATTGACATTCACGTGGAATCCTAAACCAGAAAACCAGATTTATTGGCCGGAGTCTTGAAAGAAAATCACTCAAGCGGTAGATTGAGTACGCATGTTATCTCTCACATACAGTCTGAGAGGGGCACAATGTACTATCTGGGCATGACTACCACCATAAATTCTTCTCGTATCAGGTCATCAAACAGCACTTTCAAAGGTCAGACATCCATAAACTAAGGGGGATGGAGTTCATTCGGGATGGTAAAGGGAGAGATCAAGTCCATTCATTGTCCCTCCAACTGGACCCACCAGTAAGCACAGGTGACCTTGACAGAGCTGATATATTCCCAAATGTTCTCTGGAATTGTATAACCCCACAGGCATGGTATAGCCACATCTCAGGGAATACAGTAATTATTATCATATTACAAAGGGCACTACTTCTATCCATAAGAGATGCAGTTAACATAGTAACATTTCTTTCATAGCCATATTTTAACTCACAAATGCAATTTTACATAATACCCAAGCTCGCGGGCGGTGGGTGTTCTGTTATGAGAAAATTTCAGCTCGATAATAATCAGATGAGCAAAGTTGTTTTAAACTATTGCAATCCTTAAAGTTGCTGCATTAGCTTTCTATCTGTGCTCAGCTTCAGAGGGAATGTGGAAGATGTGAAAATGGCAAGCTGGGGCAGGGAAGCAGGTGAAGGGGTCACAGAGCTTAAGCTTCTTTATTTTCACATGTTTGAGCACTTCTGCTGGAGTGGAGAGCCAGGCCCAGAGGTCACCATTTGCCTGCCCTTGAGCAGCGCTGGCCCTCACAGAAGCCGCTGACCATGGGGGTCAAGTGTCAGAGACAAGGAACAGGGAGGACCTGCTTGGCCAGGAACTACTTTCTGAGTGTTATGGAAAGGGGTCATTCTATAAGGTGAAGAAGCTCTTTTAACAATCCTTGTTGATGAGGCACAAGGAGCTCAGCTGATGTCGGAAGAGGAATACAAATGTGTGATTGATGTGTGGGAGAGGAGAGTCTAGAGAGCAAGAGCCACGCTCTGGGCACAGAACAGGGTGTACCCACAGAAGGCCCCAGAAACATCTGTTGGGGGGGCACCTTTCTGTGGGTTCTAAGGAAGAAGAGATCACTGAGCGTGGCCAGAGATGGAAAGGAAGACTACTGTGAGTATCATTCAGGCACTTACACGTAGAACGGCCAGACTTGGCAAATAAAGACACAGGATACCCAATTACGCTGGAATTTCAGATAAACGAATACTTTTTTTGGTATAATTATGTCCCAGTGCAATTTTTAACACCAATATATATTGTGTAAAATCTGCTCGTTAATAAATTACATATATGATCATTCCAAGGTTGCCTTTCTCATTAAGACAAGGTCATAGACTAATAGCAATAGATGATTAAACTTTAAAAAAATTTTTAATTATTCATTCTCTACCCATAACTATTTAACTTCTCATCTCTCTCTTTCCATACTCTCCCTCTCATATCCTCGTCCCTTTCCTCTTTACTCTCCCATCCTTACACAGAATACTCTTTTAGGATATTTCATTAGACTCTTGATTATAGAACTTTACACTATTTCACATACATACTTGAGCATTGGACCCAGGTGGCTTCCATGCTAGAAGTATATTTTACCACCACTTCCACCCATCAAAAAGAATTTTTTCGAATCTTTAAACCAACTTCCCTAGGTTTCTGAGCTTATCCTGTATAAGAGGTCTGAGTATTCTTGACCCTACGGGACAAGACTGCCTGGGTTTAAATCCTGATACTACCTAGTAACTGTTCACCTTAGACAATGTAATAACTCCCTCTGCCCTGTTTCTTGTAACACACTAGTGCCAATCCATGAGCACTAGTTTCACCTTGGGGGGTCTCAAGACATTTTCCCATAGGAAGCGCTCAGGAAATTGTGTTTATCTTATCACTAAGTGCTTTGCTATAGGAAAATGACTTAAGATTTGAGAGGAGATTCTGGTTCGTGGACCTGCAGTTAAATCCCCTCTATCTCTCTCCTCCTTCTTACTTGGAGATGAGTGAATTTTCATCCTACACTTTTCTCTAAAGAACTACAAAGTATACTTCTTTCATTTAAATGTAGCTTCATGTGAGGAACAAAGGGAGGAAGGCAGCCAAGTATACCACTAGCTTCCTTGCTATGATCCTCAAAGACAAATATTAATCCCATTTTACTGGCTAGGTTCACATTGCCCAAGGCCACAGGATTAGGAATTGGCAGAAGATGAATTAAAACCTAGGTCTGTGTTACTCTTGCACCCATGCTCTTCTACGTCACACCCCCATATTCTGAAAGGTAGTTAGTTGAAGACTTTTCTTTTCTTTTCTTTTAAATTTATTTAAGTAATCTCTACACCCAATGAGGGGCTCAAGGTCACCACCCCAAGATGAAGAGCCACATGCTCTTCCGACTGAGCCAACCAGGTGCCCCAAAGACTTTTCATTTTTATGTGTCTTTTTAACCTAACAGTGTTTGCATGCAAAATATATTCTTAAGGTATCTGGATATGTCCTTTAAAGAAAAAGAGTGATAAATTATATACGTCCCAGCAGAAGTCACCATTGTAAGGACTTTCTATTGCTGGTTTGGTTCTGGCAGAACAAAACTGGGCTTTTCAGTGTTCAAGAACACTGCAAGTGCATTTGGCAATTGAAAAGAGGTCAAATACACTTTCATAGTCATAGTTTAACTTATATGTTAGAGTCCATGTTTCAATATTAACATAACTGACTAACTGAAATAGGTAACAAGCTTAATTCCTAACTACCACTGACCTAAAACCAGATTATCCTCATCGTTCAACCTCTGCATGTTTTAAAAACCCACCAGTGGTGACAGTGGAAAGAAATAAAATAAAATATGCAAACCGTCATTGTACTCTTGGAGAAAAAAAAAACAAACTCAACTTTTTTTTCTAGAAAGCCTTCTAGATCTGAGCCCAAATTATATGATATACACCATCCATACATGGCAAATTTGCATCCCAAGGTCTGTCTTAATCCAAAGTAAGGAGGAGAACAATATGCATCAATTCTTCAGAATAAAGAGTCATTAACAGCATCAGAGTGGCAAAATATTATCTGCTGGCTGTGTGAAGCAGTTAGGGGCAAGACCTCCAGCCACAGGAATCAGTGGAAATAGACAATGGTCTCCTTGCTCTAGTTTCATTACTCGAAAAAAAGTTTTTACCAGAAAGTTTCCTATGAAACAGGGCTTCCAATTAATTAGTATCTGCACAGTGCTTTATCTTTCAGAGGTCTTTATAATTAGGAATTATTAATCCCCTCAAATAAAGACTCCTTTGTCTTCCCAAGTAAACGGGTTCCAAGAGTTAAAGGCTGAACGAGGCCCCAAACCCAGAGCAAACCCTTTGTTGTGATCACATTTCTCCAGGTCCAAATTATTCAACAGTGGCTCATTTTCCTTTAGCAAATGTCCGTAGAAGTTTCCCGAAGAGGTTTTGAGCTTCAGGGAAGCTACTGATTAACGGGCATTTAATCTCACATAATTAATAGAACACAAGAAAGTATCTAAATGTTCTCTGTTTCATTACACAGATTCCACAAAGCAAGCATTTAGTCTTATGGTCATGCACCTTTTTCTATTTTCTGTTCTTCCTCCCAAAAGTCTCCATCAAATGCCTGAATTAGAGTGTTTAGTCCATAGCTATCAATTGGAATTCATGGGGCTTCATAAACTATCCTCATATCAAGAGAAAGAAAAAAAAAAAACTGACTTAAATGTTCATTCTTAACTGTCCTCCAGCATATCTATGAAGGACACAGACTAGAAACCAAAACCATTTCCAGAGTCACCACAATGAGTCATTGGGTTGTTTGGTTTTTTTTTGGAGGGGGGGGGTTATTTTTTGTTTGTTTGTTTGTTTGTTTGTTTATAGGAAGGTACAAAAGAGAATGCAATATTGCTCATATAAAGTTGAATCTGTCATTTAGGCAGCTCCCAATAAACAAAAATGGTTCTCTCTTCCTCTTTCTCTCTCGTGATTATACCTGGAAAAAAGAACTCTAATCTCTGACATGCAGCAAATAGTTACATTAATTTTTTTTCTTTTCCATTTTGCAGGAGTAAAAGTAATGTGCTGGGGGGAGACAAAAATCAATTTTGCCTGGATCTTTGGGTCCTATCCCACCTGCTGTACATCTTTGTTAGTGGCCTGCAAGACCCCAGAGGACAGTGATGATAAAAGAAGACCAGGAGTGAGATCTAATCTCTAGGACATTCCTGGATATCAGGAAGGCAGGAAAGTGTTTGCACTAGGAGTCATTTTCCTCCAGTATCTCTGAGCAGCAATTCTTATTAATAAGTGCCTATGAATAGAGATCAGGAGATAATGCTTTCAGGGGAATGAAAGATTAGATCTGCATTTTGGATCTAGCCCAAGCTTGAATGCTCATAAAAGCAGGCAGGGATCAGGGAGTTCATTAAAATGAGAAACAAAGTCCTGAAAGCAGAAGTCTCTTCAATAACATAATACTTAAGTCAGAGGTGATTGATTTGGGTTTCGCACAATGAGGAAGCTCATGAAAATATCTATCAGAAGTTTGAATGAATTCACTTTGTGACTTGGAATGAGCAAAAATTTTTAAGATCAGATCAAAAGAACAAAAGGATCAATTATACGAAAAAGAGAAGGATTGTGATTGCTTTTTGAGAAAACAGTGTTAACAGATGACAAGGAAATGACAAAATTATTGCTGGAAAGAATAGAGTGGATATTGTTACAAGGGAATGGGAGAACAAGATAGCAGAGACATTAATAAGAAAGCAAATAATTGTTCTTTACTCCAGTGAGATTATACCGCTGTGTATTGAAAAAATTTGTTCATGTTATAACAGAATAAACTTTTTTACCTTTTAATAATCACAGAATATAGAAGACCAACCAAAAAATGGGGAAAGATAATGTCTAGAGTGTTTTTTTAAGTGATTTTAAGGAACTATACAAAAGTAGGTTTGATGTTGATCTGCCATAAATTTCTAGATTTGATTTTTTTTTAAGATTTATTTATTTAAGAGAGAGAGCACAAGTGGATGACGGGGCAAAGGGAGAGAGAGAAGCTCAAGCAGACTCCATGCTGAGCATGGAGCCTGACAAGGAGCTCAATCTCACAACCCTGAGATCATGACCTGAGTCTAAACCAAGAGTCAGAGGCTTAACAGACTGTGCCACCCAAGTGCCCCAGACTTGATTATTTTAAAAGCTGATGTGTCAGCCACTGTAGCTTTAATAACCAATACTCTTATAGTCTGATGGCAACATGGAGGTGTTGGGATGCCTAACTCAACTTAGCAAGGAAAAGGAAGTTTTCTTGGAGAGGGTGATGGCTGAGCTGAGCAGGAGGATGCTGTAGACAAGCCACTTGACAGAGTAAGTTGGAAGAGAAGATAGGAGCTGTGTGATGATTGTGGTAAGGGGCCTCATGGCTAATTGAGGAAAGGCAGTGAGAGTTAACTATGTGGAGAAAACCTCAGTTTACTCTCTCATCTTGTTATGGTTAACATTTTCCATAGCACTTGAATGAAGACATCCTTACTAAAGCCATCAGCTCACTTCTCTAATGAATGGGTGTGGCATGGGCTCCCGGGTATGGTAGGGCAGCCCTCCTCTGCTTCAGGCTCTTCAACAGCAGCCCCTTCAGTGCTCTGACTCTCACTAACCCATGCTGTCCGTACTCTCTATGGAAGCCACCGGGGCCTTCTGGTTCCTCAGGGACTCCAGAGAAAGACTTTCTTCGTGGGGTAAGAGTTGAGGACGCACAAGCTTTTCTTCATCTAAATAAATAGCTACACGTCATTAAATAAGAGCTATATATTGCTCCAGGGAGTACCTATTGCTGTTAATACTGGTAATTAATCATGGATGCTCTTAACTATGCGATGTTTTAGTCCTTCAAAAATATATTTAATGAAAGAAAGAAAGAAGGAAAGAAGAAAGAAAGAAAGAAAGAAAGAAAAGAAAAGAAAAGAAGGAAAGGAAAGAAAGGAGAAAAAGGAAAGGAAAGAAAAGAAAAGAGAAACATTACCTGTAACTCCCTGCTGTATTTTCACATGTGGCTCCATTCTGACATCCCAAGGGTGTTCCTGAGTAAATCGCACATTCATTCACATCAACTGAGCACAGAGGACCCTGCATTCATGTAAAGAACAAAGTCAGGTGCTATGGGTCACAGAAGCATCTGGGGCCAATATTCCTATGATATGTTCAAGGATTTATATGTGCCCAATAAAGAAGTCTTCAGTTAAGCAAGATAAAATCACACTAATACTAATATCCAGTTATCCTTCCTCTTGAACTCAGATTTGGCCTAAGGGAGCCAAAGAGCTCTTGGTAAAATCACACCAATCACACAAGAAGAATCCTTATACTAACTAATCCTCATGTTACTATGAGGCTATGCCTGGGAATAGTCACTTAATTTTTTTTAATGCACATGTTCAGGAACATTTTCACCATTAATAGAAAAGGGCAAGAAAATTTACATGGCTACATCAAGATTCATTTATTACTTTTAGTGCTGAACAATTTAAATTGATGCTAGCCTAAATATCATGCCCTTCCACGTAGTTATGCAGTCAAGTGGGTTGACTCCTTAAGATGGCTCAGTGGGTTATGCAGTCATGCTCGCCATTGTTTGGATTTTGGCGTACATGCTGTAATTCATCCTGATTTGGGAGACCACAGAATCCTAGAAACTTTGGATGGAGATTAAATATGTCCGAATGATTCCAAAGAAACCACTGATGCTGATTAACTGTCATTTTTAACCAAAGACCAAGTGACTTACCTTCCACTGGGAGGGACAGATACAATAAAAGGAATCATGGAGATTGAGGCAGGTTCCCCCATTTTGGCAGGGATTGCTGCTGCAAACCTTTCTGTCAACTGTCTGAAACAAAGACAGGGCAGTCAGCAAGACCATAGTACTTTCAGCAGGCAGCAAAGAAAGGCATGTTTCAGGGCAGGGGCTTGTGTGAAACTACATTTTACTCCTAGTCAAGGGAGAGTCCTCCTCCAGACTTTAAATCAATTACTGAAAGTTCTTCTTCAAATCAACTCTCTCATGGAAAAAACAAAGTGTTTTACATGGTCAGTCCTATGCATTTTCCTTCACCATGGGATGAGGCACAAGGGGAGAGGATACTCTATTCTTTGCAAAAGCATTGTTCACCTGAGAAATAGACGCTGGTGGACAAGAGTAAAGATTTCAGGTTGGGAATAATAATGGGCATTCCTATTGTACTAAGAAAAGAAAATGGGAATTCCGGTTCTTTTGTTGCTATTCTTCTCTTTGGTACTTCCAGATAAGCATTTGAAATCTGATCATCTTTTGCTGCTACCCCTCCTCCTGTGGGTTAAGATGACTGAACTATTTTCACTCCAAGTAAGTCCCTTTGTTTGAGATGTGGGCTTAAATACACCCTCTACTCCTGCGCTCACATGACTACTTTCAGACCAGAGTCACGAACAGACCTGCCTTTGTCTACATAACCTGGGGAATCTTACCAAATGTCAGCTACTAGTTCCAATCTCATAAGCTTTGTAATGCCTTTGGGGGCAGAAAACTTTAGAGAGGAGGAGTGGTTATGCAAGAAAAGCTATTTTACTAACTTCATCTATTCATAGTCTAATTCTCTGTTTTAAAAATTAAAATAGGGCTAAAAAATAAAATTTAAAAAAATTAAAATTAAAATAGGGGCAAATTATTCATGACATTCTTTTTTTTTTTAATCCAGTGACTCACAGAGAAAGTCATGTCTGTTCCCTTCATTTTACAGATGAAACAGAGCCAGAGGGTAGCCAACTAACTGACTAAGCACCGTTTATTGCCAAACCCATCTCTCTCCTCCTTTGTCAAAAGGAAGGTGACCACGCATGTGGGGGTCTCTTTCTGGACTCTGTTTTCTTCCATGATCCCATCTATCTTTGTGCCCTGTACCACAAATAGGCCTGTTCATCAGAGGACTCAATTATGGAAATTAACCACAAACTCATTAGAAGTTCTCTGACACACAAAAGCAATGTTGTCTGGCACTTTAAAACTTGAAAGCCTATGGAGGCCCAGCAGGAAATGGAATCAGTAAGCAATTAGGAGGAAGATATTGGGGAATGATGGTGGCTATAGTACCAGAGAGCACTTGCCCTATTGAAATGCATAAAAGGTACTTACATCCAAAAATCATTAAAAAATTCTTCCTAGGGTATGGGAGGAGGGAGAGTCTGGGGTCATCTGACTATGGCCTCCAGGTTTTGACCTTTGGTAGCAATAATGAAACACTCTAGGAGACTGGAGGCTATAGTACAGTGCCTTGCTCCAGAGGTATGATTCCTTGCTTGTTTTCATTCATTCAACTACTCCCTAAAAAAGATAAAGGCTGAGGAGCAATTTATTATCAAAGTCAGGAAAAGGCATATATACCTGAATTTGCTCACCAAGTTTAAAACACCAAAATGGAGGACCACACTTGAAGCATAATCATAACAGATCCAGAATATGAGGACAGGGATTTTTAGCCTGGAATCTCCTAACTTTTATTCAAAAATTTTAAAAGGGGGCATTCTGTGCATTTCTCTGGGTAAAAGGTTATAGCTTCCATGAAAACCTTAAAAACATCAGCCAACTTCAAAACAGATGAGAGGTCTAAAATTACAAGGACAAGTTTATAAGCATGTACTTATAAAGTTATGGAAGGTTTACTCTAAGAAACTTCTCAAATTTAATTACCAGCAAATGTACTTTTCAGGAATTTTGAAATATTTTGTGGGACGCATGGGTGGCTCAGTCAGTTAAGTGTCTGCCTTTAGCTCAGGTCATGATCCCAGGGTCCTGGGATCAAGCCCTGTATCGGCTCCTTGCTCAGTGAGGAGCCTGCTTCTCTCTCTCCCTCTGCCTGCCGCTCCCCCTGCTTGTGCTCTCTCTCTCTCACTCTCTCTATTTCTGTCATATGTCAAATAAGTAAATACAAATAAAAAAAAAAAGAAATATTTTGTGAATACCCCAAGGCTCTGAGTTTAATGTTGTAGAAGATGCATGGCCTTTCTTTTTTCTTTTTTTTTTAAGATTGATTTATTTATTTTAGGAAGGGGATAGGGAGAGGCAGAGGGAGAGGGAAATAATCCTCAAGCAGACTCCCCAATGAGCACAGAGCCCGACATGGGACTTGATCCCAGGAAAGCGAGATCATGACCTGAGCCAAAATCAAGTCAGCTCTACCGACTGAGCCACCCAGGTGCCCTGATGCATGACCTTTCAATACTCAGTCCTAGATGCTGGAATCAGCAAGTTGGGGGGTCACTAGCTGATAGGTTTAGCTCACATGCTTCACAAGCCCAATGACCTGGGGCTGGTTACTTTATCTGAGACTCAGATTCCTCATCTGTATCTTGGGAAGCATGAACTGTGCTGAGAATTAAATTAAAGGAAAAAGCGAAGTCCTTGATATGGATTATCCATCTACCTTAAGATAAGAATGCCAGCCCCATCAATAATTCTAGTGTATTTTCAGTGAAAGATGTCAGACAAGTAGTAGTTATGGGACCTACCTGCTGTAAGTTTTGAAATTTTCTCTCCATATCCACAAGCTAAGTAGTAGGAAAGAGAAAGCATCAGTTAGCATTCACATGTGATATTGCCCCTTGGCATATTTTCCTAACACCCTCTGCTGGGGACTCACTTTGTCTGTTGATTCCTTTTTTTATTGCTTTTTCTCTCCTCATTCCTCTTCCCTTCAGGCTTCCCTTCCTTCCTACTGCTTTCCATCATATAGATTTTTTTTTAAAGGCATTGATAAATTGACTCATTGCTTCTCTGCACACAGCAACTCTGGAATTTTCATAAATGACAGTGGTTCGCCCACTTCACCAATAAGAAGATTCTATCAGAACGTGGGCAAGACCTACTTATGCAACAAGCTCTTGTCACAGCATTACAACCTTCAGCCCATCACTACCTCTGCATCCCCTATTAGACTTATATCATCTAACTGAAAAATCCATAATTACAATACTAAATTTCTAAAGAGGATGAAAAGCTACTATGTCTTCTGAGAGACATTACTTACAAAGTTGAATTAAGAAAACCCATTTGTGTTAAAGATGTGGATGTCAGACTTACCTTAGAATTAAGCTGATGGATTTGACTGGAAATATTTTGAGGCAGACCGACTGCACTCCTTTTTAAATCTATAATATCATCTTTGTTTCTCTGGATCTAATTTCAAAAAGGAAAAGGAGGAGGAGAAGGCTAGTGAAAAAGTCATGTGTCTATTACAGATACAAAATTTTTTAAAGTCGAGTCCTGTTCTTTTTTAAGCACCAAAATCTTGCCCATTATTGTAAAAATCAACACAATGCCATGTATAATAAACATCGGACTAAAATAGCCATGGAATAATTCTCTTCGCCCTTTTCAGTAACAACACATCAAGCTACTTTCCATTTGCATTTTTTCTCATAATGGTTGGGAGTGCTCGTTGAGAGGCCTAACCTGGAGACAGACGGCTTGGGGTTTAGATCCTGGCTCAGCCATTTCCTGGGGATCCTTGGGCAAGCCTTTGCACTGCTGCACGTTTCCTTTACCTCCCTTACAAACAGGGTGATAATAAAGCCAAGCTCACAGGACAGTTGTGGGGGTTCGATGGGATAACACACAGCGAGTGTGGAGCACACTGGATAGCCCCTAGGAAGCTCTAAATAATGCTAGCTTCTAACATTACGACTGATACATCAGTGTGATATGGTAACTAAAGGACACTGAAAACACTCAGGAAGGCAGGAGAATAATTGACCAATCCTGTTCTCTGGCACAAGTAAACTGGTCACATTTAACCTTTCTCTGGCCCCTCTCCTTCCTTGCTCCTCTTGTGAAGGAGTCCCAGTATGACCCTGGGGCCCCTCTCTGGATTAGATGGATTAGAGGACATAAGTCCCCACCATGAGCCACTTCCCACTAGAATTCCTCCTTCTGCCCATCATTAACCCTAGGGCGTTGTTCTTTATAGGACTTCCCTCACCTCCAGTTAGGTTCCCCAGGCTAAAGATTTAAGGTACGGATTCATATAGACCTCTTGAATTAAATGACTCTAAATGGAGATACAAAATTACTTTGATATATTTCCATTGTATTACCTGATGTAAACATTCGCCAAGGTCTTCCTCATTTAATTTGATTTTTCCCAGGGATCCAGTTCTGAATTCAATGTTCTGAGCAGTCCCAGCAAGAAACACTAAATTTCCCCTTTCTGCAGCCATCCTAGGCCTATATAAGTCAAACCAGAGGATGCATCAATGATGAGCACATGTAATTTTTTTTTAAAGATTTTATTTATTTATTTGACAGAGACAGAGATAGCGAGAGCAGGAACACAAGCAGCGGGAGAGGGAGCCCGATGTGGTACTCGATCCCAGGACCCTGGGATCACGACCTGAGCCGAAGGCAGATGCTTAACGACTGAGCCACCCAGGCGCCCGAGCACATGTAATTTTTAAACAACAACGTTTCTCACTGAATATCTATAGACTGCTTACACCTTTGCTCTGTGGTCAACCCAACCAAATTCTCCCTGCTCATCTGCCCTTTCTTCCCTGCAGATTTCTTAGAGATGGCTCCTAGTAATTGCAAACTTGCTTTATTTGCAAAATGGTCAGTGAATAATTTAAGTAGAAGATAATCCCCTACATCAATCTAAATGTTTTTCCCTATTTGTCTTCAACATCATTGTTTTCTTGCAGAAAAATCACACCTTTGCCTCTCTGGCTATTTGTGGAAACTAATGACCACCTGCCCTCGACCCTCAGCAGCAATAATCCATGTGCCTACTTACTGTTGGAGCTCAGTACTTCTCTTTTGTCTCTGCAGCTCAAGTTCTCCAGTTCCACCATTTGATTCAGCAAATGTCAACAAAATAACCAAACTCCAAAGAAAAGATGAGGACATGTTCCTCAGCAACCCTCCTCCGTTGTCAGGAAGAAGGAAGCCCTCCAGCCGAGTGTGGGATTTGAGAGAAAGCAAATCAGGCAGATGTACTTTGGCCTGTGAAATATCCTGCAACTCTTCAGTTCTCTCTTCTTTGCCCTTGACAGCTACGTTATTTTTCCTTCCCAAGGGGTGTAAATGATCTTAGATCTTCAACTTGTGAGAGGTCAAAATCTACCTTTAAGTGATGCACAACTTAATCATTACCTCTCTGACCTTTGAAATAGTAACAGACTGCTTTGGAAACATCCACTAAAGCAATCCTTGCTTAAGAAGTAACCACCTTTCAGCAAATGATATTAGAAAAAAATGCAAAAAAAAAAGAATCTGGACCTTACTTTACCCACATGCAAAAAAAAAAAAAGAATCTGGACCTTACTTTACACCACATACAAAAAGTTAACTCAAAATGAACCAAATATCTAAAAACGGGAGCTAACACTCTTCAGAAGAAAACAAAGGAGGAAAGGCTTGTGACAGTGCACTTGGCAATGATTTTTTGGATATGACACCAAAAGCATAGGCAACAATAACAAAATAATGGATACATTGGACCATTTGAAAATGAAAAACCTTTTGTATACCAAAAGACACCATCAACACAGTGAAAGACAACTCACAGAACGGGAAAAAAATTCACTAATCATATATATGATAAGAGGTTAATATCCAGAATACATAAAGAACTCCCATAACTCACCAACAATAAAAAAGAGCCCCTTTCTGACGTGGGCAAAGAAAATAGGCATTTTTCCAAATAACATGTACAAATTGCCAAAAAACACATGAAAAGATGTCACCTTCACTATTCATTAGGGAAACATAAATCAAAACCACAATGAGATATCACTTCACACCCATTAGGATGGCTACTATCAAAACAAACAAAACCCAGAAAATAACAGGTGTTGGTGAGGATGTGGAGAAACTGGAGCCCTTGTGTACTCTTGGTGAGAAAGTAAAATGGTGCAGCCATTACAAAACAGTATGGCAGTTCCTTAAAAAATTAAACAGAATTACCATGGGATCCAGCAATTGCACATCTGGGTATATACCCAAAAGACCTGAAAAAAAGAGACTCAAATAGGTATTTGTACAACCATGTTCACAGCAGCATTATTCACAATCGCCAAAATATGGAAGCAATCCCAATGTCCATTGACAGATATGAATGGATAAAAAAATATGTTACATGCATACAGTGGAATATAATTCAGCCTTAACATGGAAATTCTGGCACCTGCTACAACATGGATAAACCTTGAAGACATTATGCTGAGTGAAATAAGTCAGACACAAAAGGCCAAATACTGTATGCTTCCACTTATATGAAGAACCTAAAGTAGTCAAACTCACAGAGACAGAATGTAGCATTGGTTTCCTGGGCTGGGGGAAGGGAGGATAGGGAGTTCTTGTTTAATGAACAAGAGGTTCACTCTGGAAAGATGAAAAAAGTTCCAGAGATGGATGGTGGTGATGGTTACACAACAACAAGAATGTAATCCCACTGACCATTAAAAATGTTTAAAATGAGAGACACCTGCATGGCTCATTAGGTTAAGTGTCAAACTCTTGGTTTCAGCTCAGCTCATGAGCCCCGCATTGGGCTCCACGCTCAGCGTGGAGTTGGCTTAGGATCTCTCTCTGTCTCTCCCTCTGCCCCTCCCCCTGTTCTATAAATAAATAAATAAATAAATAAATAAATAAATAAATAAATAAATAAATAAATAAATAAATACTTTTAAAAAATGACTGAAATTATAAATTTTATGTTAGGTATAGTTTAAAATTTTAAAAAATTGAAACCAGAGTTAGAAAGATGGGATGGGAACTAGTTGCTATGGGAAACCCTTTGAAGAAATAAAAGGATGCTTTGCATGTAGACTCGTTGTTTTCAAAGATTTAGAAAACATAGGCTATGAAGAATTTGGAAGTGCCATCAAAAATTTTAGATAGTATCTACATAAAATTACCCCCTTAAATAAAGCAGTACAGTTTGACATGGAGAAATGTAACACCATTTTACACATGTTCTATTCAAAAATAGCAACAAAAATAGCTGGCAAGTTGCTGTTTACTTGAGGTGATACTGAGGTTAAGTAATGACGTTTTTTTGTTATGTTGTTGTCTGTTTTAAGAAAAGGGTATAATGCAATAAATGGTATCTCCAGATGAATATATTTCTTTAAAGTTACAGTTGTCCAAGTTTTGTTTAAAAGCTTAACAACCTGGGGTGGGGATGGGGGAAAAGCTTGACATTGTGAAATATTTGTCAACTTAGAACTGGACAAAATAGGATGGGGTAGAATCTTCCAACACAAAGGACAATTATATCCCTCTGAGCTATGACCATAACTATTTTCATTATTATATTTTCTTAAAGTATATGCACATACTCAGCAAATCTTTTTGTGCAACAGAAAAGGTCTCCAGCGTGATCTCAATAAGAACTTCCTGTTTTATAGGATTTTCCTGTTTTACTAATGTGCTTATTATTAAACAAAGTAGAGAATTTCTTTGCTCCTAATCTAGGCATACAATTCTTAATTGTCCCTCACATTAGAAAAAACAACAAGAAAGAAATATCCTTTCAAGGTCTAACTGACTTTTGGTGAGTTGGGGAATTTTACCTCCAGCTCACCTACTCAACTCTAGCTGAGATCAATAGATAAGTCAGACCGTGTGCTTATGATGACTTGGTGGAAGCAATATAAAAATCAATTGCTGTTTCCATGGCATTATCATGAATTCTGTTTACCTGCCTTATTTGGAATTTCTTCAGCAAAGAGAAATTTAAAAAGTCTTAGAATCCATGACCTTCAGACTTTGAAGGTGAATAATCACCCATCTTCCCTCCCCCAAGGTAAACTTTCTACTGATCTGAAACCCTGTCTTTCATTGACTAGCAAATCTCCCATTTCCTCCCTAATCCAGAATGCATTCCACAAATATCCTGCATGTGCCCTTTACATATGAGCCCTTTACGCTGCAAAATGGCAGGAATACAAATGAAATACAGTGTAGATTTTTCCCTTCGAAGTCATGTCTAGGGGACACCACATGGTTGAAGCGTTATGAACAGGGAGTCTGAAGCTCATGCATCCGGGTTCAAACTCCAGCTCCGTCACTTCCTAACTCTGTGGCCCTATTTCTTCATCAGCAGAAAGACAATAACAGCACTGAAGGTGTATACAATGTTTAGCACATTTGGTCTCTGGCACATAAGTGCCCACTAAATAGAAACTCTTATTACTGTGTGAATAAATATCATAATACCTCTCCTTCCTCTCCCACCACTTGGGTTTGGGTTCCTTAAAACAAGAAATGATAAAAGAATTCACAGTTCATTTTAAAATCTTGGGTACAAGGAAAATCAGTAGGGTCTCATCTCTTCTCTTTTGGAAGAGGATTCCAGAACATAGACATGTACTGGGGACTTTGAGTGAGCTATATGCAATTAGGGTGGTATCCCTCTCTCCAGATCTGTGTGTCAGTGAGCTGCTAATCAACAACTCATGACTTCTGCTCCCAGTCCTGCCTCATGGTCTCACTTCTCTACCTCTCCCCACGGCTCCACAGCAACGCTCAGAGAAGTCTCAGCTTCCTTTTCTCCTGCCTTTGCCCCTTACGAAACCACCAGACTACAGTTGTAAGAACCAGAACTGTCTTCTCCTTTCTTCCTCCTTTAACTTCTCCAAGATGTCTTTGTAAAACCTCTGCTCCTTCTGTGCTATATCCACTTCACCTCCTTTTTCTATTCTGAATCCTGAGTCCTCACCCTTCTTAATAATTACCAGCACAATACACAAATGAAAATCCTGTGGCCTTCAAAAATGTACATGGGAGGAAATTCCGATAAACCAGAATTTCACATGAGGAAAACTGCTGGTTAAGAAGGGATCACTATAGTCAAAACACTGATAAGGACAAAAGAGAAGAAAATAAAGAAAAAAAGGAAAACACTGATAAGGAATAGAATTAACTCTGCCTCAGAGGAGCAATGCAGGCTTCCCTGGAGAACAGCTGCATCCTACAGAATGAAGACTTCTCCAAGAAAAGTAGAGGGATTGGGAATTCCAGAGAAAATGGTGCACATGAAGCTTTCCAGTTAGAAAAGAAGTCAACATGGCCCAACCAGTGCACGTTTGTGGGAGATGAAATTCCTAAAATAGACAAGTCAGATCCAGAAGGACCTTGAAATGTGATTGTAATGAGCTTAGGTTTTATTTTAAATAATAGAAAATTATGAGAGTATTGTAGGCAGGAGATTAACATGGTCATGTTTGCGTCTGACAAGCATTCCTGCAGAGCCCAAGCTCAGACCCAGAGTTGGTGAAGAGGCTGGACTACAGTGAAAGGGATGTGAACTGGGACGCCCCTCCCCCTCCCCGTGAAGGCAGTGGCAGAGAGAGCAGGAAACAGGAAATGGTGAGAAATATTCAGGAAACGGGATCTACCAAAGTATTTGGGCAGCTAAGAGGGGATGGGTTGATGTTCAGGTTCCTTGTTTGAGAAACTGGAAGGATAGACGTGCTGATAATTGAATAAGAGAGAATAATCAGGGGAATGAGGTTTGGGGGAAAAAACCCTGAGTTCAGATTTGGCTCCAGAGATCTGAGGGACACTGGCCACCCACTGCAGCCTCACGGCCTCACTCTCAAGTGGTTTGGTCATCGATGATGGGTGTAGGGAAGGTCTGAGATGGCCCAAACTACAGACTTGCTGCTTACTCAAAGTGTGGTCCACAGACCCAGCACAGTGTCACCCAGGAGCTTGTCAGAAATGTAAGAATCGCAGGTTCATTCTCGGACTCACTGAATCTGAATCTGCATTTTACAAAGACCCTCCTTCCCTGCCCCAGGGTGGGAGAGCATCTTCACTCAGGAAGAGAGGCATATGGTTGCCATGGGCTGCATCCCTATTTCCATTTCTCTATTTTTCTGAGATTGATCTAATTTTTCACAGCTTTCTTTTCTGTTTTCTACTTCTTTATCTTCTTTGGTTCTACCTTATGAAAAGTTCTTTGTATTTATCTTTTAGATTTTTTATTTAAAAAACTTTCCTGGGCGCCTGGGTGGCTCAGTTGGTTAAGCGACTGCCTTCGGCTCAGGTCATGATTCCGGAGTCCTGGGATCGAGTCCCACATGGGGCTCCCTGCTCAGCGGGGAGTCTGCTTCTCCCTCTGACCCTATCCCCTCTCATGCTGTTTCTCTCTCTCTCTCTCTCTCTCAAATAAATAAAAATAAAAAATT